AGTATAATTGAAGATGCCGTACGAGAATTGATGAAGTGTTTGGGCATGGGACCGTGTGAACGAAGCGATCGTGTGCCCGAGGGTAAGAGCGCACATACGTTGTTGTTGGCTGGTGTGTTCCGAGGTGGTTTCGATGTCCTGGCAAAGGCAAAACTTGCGATTGATCCAGCCGATCAGACTGTTACATTGAATCTTGTTGTGCGGTTAGTTATTTGTTATGTAAAGAATGAAAGATTATGTTTATTCTGTTGTTAAATTTATCGTTTCATTTATTTGAAAGGAAAGAATATTGCATAAGTTGAATGTTGTTGAAAGTCAGTATTTACAATATTGTGTTGCTGGGATGCTTGATTTGAGTGAATGCTTTCAGGTCGGATAATGAGAGCGTGAGTGCAGCAATAGCCAGTGCTATCGAGTAGGCTTTGTTCGTTTCGATTGGACAAAATTGGAGGATCAATTGATCAGTTTATGTGATTTGTCACACCGCCTATGTGTTCAACAACGGTTTCGTTCCTTTCCGTTCCATTAATGATATTGTCGTTACTTCATTCATAGCGTTCCGAAAAGTTTATTTGTTCAGTAATGATTCATAAATTGAGTTTTTAATTTATTTACTCCATTATAATTGCTCGTCATTTTGTTTGCTGGTTTGTTATATTATTCTGTTCGTTTTATCGTCATTGCTAAACTAAATTTAAGTATGTTGTTAATATCAGTCGATTGTTCTCAGAAGGTTTTCGTTAATTGTTGGAGTCTAGGTTTGTACAATTGATTTGTCAAATCTCANAAAGAGCAGAATCGAACATTTCGAGATTGTTTTGAATTTGAAACGGTACCGATTGAGCCCGTAAACGGTGAAATTTGAATAGAGTGCAAGGGAACGTTTAAATTGAAGGAAGTAATTTGTGTACGCTGTGATTTGATGTGTTTGCTACTTTCATGTTATCGTTTTTGTTCTTGCAATGATGAAGCGTTAATTGTTATTTTGTGTTGTTTGATGATGAGGAAACAATGCATTGAGGCAGGAGGTCATCATTGAAATGTGTTTATGGGTTGAATGGTTTATGAAGTGATTGATGGAGTTTGTAATCGTTCATATTTACTCGATTCATTCAATAAAACATCGCAGACATTTGTTGAAAGTTATTCAAATCAAAAAGTGTTGTTTCTGACGAACAGCTGACGAGTATAGCTATGATTGTTGGGAAGTGAAGCTGTTATCTTTACTGGTCAATAGATAAAATCCTTGTAAACGCATTCACCTTGTTATCGTTTCAATGATCTATTTCGTGGATTGAAAAACTGATAAGATGTGATCATGGTGTCAGTTATCAGCAATGTTCATTGATTCTCATATCAGCGATGGCGTTGTGTGCGTGTGTGTGTG